CCTACACAAATGCTTTGAATTTAGAAATTTAGTGGGGGGTTTTGAAAGCATTCTTTTCCAAGAATAAACAAGTTATGATGTTTTGCAGAGATTCTTCCCTCTACCTACATCTCTCCAATTATTTTATGATTTCAACCAAAAAAAAAAAGTAATTCAATCACATGCTTACCAAAAATCACATTGCACTGAACTGAACAGACAAACGAATTCCCCACACTCAAACAGCAACATAATACTTATCTCAATTTGAACATACGGCAAAGCACGTTTGCAATCAAACAAAGCGGAAAAAAAGAAAACTTTAGGGGAGACTGGATAATTTTGAACATTAATTTTAAAATGCTTAACAGACACCTGTAAATAAACTGAGAGGAGAAACTTAACTTACTATATTCAGGCTGAAATAAGAACTATTTCAGCCTCCATGTTGCACAGATCATAACCCTAACTCACCTGAACTCCTAAAAAGCTCCCTATCTAGAATTACACATTAACACAGAGATCACAATACAATAATCCACATGTACAATGAGCATTTGAACATGCAACGAAACAACCTCACTCTACCCAACAAAAAACAATTAGGCTGGTGGTGCGAGACCACCCTTGGTATTACAGGATTCACTGACCACATCACGCAGTGCGGCATTGGTAGAGATCGTTAGCTGAACCCTGAAGGAGCCAGCTCCTGTCGTGGAAACCACGTAAGCCAAGAGCGCCAGGGCAGTGACATGGTTAAACGGATGACTTGGTGAAATGGTTATAAAAGCTTGCAGTACCCAAGTTAGTATCGCTGCATGCCATGTTGCACAATGCCATGCGAACGTGCCAGCAGTGAAAGTGCTACCGCAATAACACAAAGAAAGCAGCAGTGCAAGGTGCAGACCTGTCCAAAATGACTCAGGAGTGCTAACCATATCCTGGTCCTGACCTAAATTCCATTTCAGGTCAATGGTAAATATTCTTGTGACGCCTGATTAGATCTACAAGTGCTCTGAAAAATCCCACACAATGAATCTTGTTACAGAAGTTGCCTGTTCTCAGCCACACCAATGTGGGAGACTGTTCATCATTAGCAGCATAAATGTAATTTTCCTGCAGAGAAAGCCAGGATGCGTCACTCAGGTCTTGGCAGACTGACAAAAGTAAATACATTTGTTTTAAAACTCACCCGTATTTAAGCTTGCAAAGATTTGATCACTGATTTGACACAGACTGAAACACTTTAATTTGTTTTCAAAAATTTCTTCCACTGAGAAAACATTTTTCAAAAATAAAACCTGCGGCTATCCACTCTATCATTTCTGCCTATCATCAACGACAACGTATGCCAGCATTTACATCCTCCCATCCAACCACTAATCACTCTTTGCAACTGAAAAAAACCCCAATATAACACTAAACAGCACCATGGAAACTCAGAGTAGCTAAATAACATCGTGCCTACCTGGGCCATTATGTAAAACCACAGATTATGTATATTATAGAAATAGCCCAATCCAAACATTGCAGTGAAGAGTCCACTAGCAAGCATCCCAACCGTCAGATAGTACCGGATAGGTAGCCGTTCTCCTATTATTCCACTTGGAATGTGGAAGGATACAAAAAGAAAGGTGATAATTAAAAATCAGATCACACCCCAAGCCTTCACAAATAAAGAATATTTTTGTGTTGTTTGATTCAGGTTGAGGAGAAACTTTACTGGTAACTGCTGTTTTTCTTCACAGCAGCACATGAGCAATTTTTAGCACTTGACAGGAAAAACCAACAAACATTTCATGTTCACTAATTGCCAACTGCTGACATCTGCACAACCATCTTTTGGGGAGATACTCCCCTGAAGCGCATTGGGAGCTATTTACTTATATAGTCACTTTCCAAATGACGTGGGTGGGACGTGTCTCCAGCCATTTAAAGTGAGACTCGTCTCCCTTGCTAATGATTCTAGTTATGAAGGTTCTGGTTTTAGTCAATAAAAAGAGGCACCTCCAAATGGCAGCTAATACTGCACATCTTAAGATGGGTTCGGTATTATTTTTAGGAGGTGTCTGCTTCTGTCCTTTGACTACAGAGAAAGCCAGGACAATCAGCTTAGTCTACATATGCAAGTCAGAGACTGATAAAGTTTGGGGACATGTATTCCAGCATGTATTCCTTCATATTCCATATGAAGGAAAGACAAGCTAGACTGCGAGTTGGC